TTAATTTCAGGCAACTATAACAGAAGGCAACTTGTTTACATCTTTTTCTTTTTTTAAAGCACATCTAAAGCAAAAATTCTAGCCATTACTGCATTATGTCCTTTTTTTTTTCAATGGCTCATTTTCAATGGCTCATTTAAAATATCCTAGATGTTTAGACAAAATAGAAAACATGGATGCAAAGTCCAGCCTAAATAATGCAGCAGAATTTAATTTCTATCAAATATTTAAGCTGGTTTTATTTTTAGAGAGACCTTCTTTTCCCTGGAAGAGCAGGCTCTCGGATACAAAGCGCTATATTATTAATGCAGCTGAGGTATTCAAGCGCGCTTTAGTAATACATGATTAATAATATACAAATGATTTTCTTTAGCAATTTTTTTGCATTGCTTATTGATTTTTTGGGGAGGGAGATTGTACATCTTGGTATTCTTTTATTCTTGATCCTTGAAAGTTGAAGCACTGATGGCTTCCCCCTCCCTCATTAGAAGAAATAAGAGAATAGAGACCATCGTAAAAGCTCTTCTCTCCTTACAGCCTTTACTGTTCCCTATGAAAAATTGGAGGTGTAATGAGGAGACTGAGGCTATTCTTGCAGCATTTCCAATCAAAATAATGCAGTTCTCCATGTGGTACATAGTCTAGTTTTGTATAAACTAGAATAGGTTTATAACTCGCCTGAAGGGTGTGACTTTAGAACAAATGTCTTCAAAGTTCAAAATGCTTTTTAAGTCAGAACTAGTTAATAGAGCGACTACTGCTAGCAGTAGATGTATGCAAAAAATGCATTTTATCCTTTTAATGTCACTAAGTTTTTCCTTAATGAGGAACTCCCCATGATCTAAAAAAATTAAGCCTTGCAATGGGATTACCCAGCACTGCAAGTGTTAAGTGGTCGTTTTAGTGTTCACCTCTCTCTTCCTCCGCCCTAGCTGTGTTATGTCCTTTGGACTCGTGAATGGACCTGCATTTTAGACATGATGATGTCAGCGCTCCTTAGACCGCCAGAGCCCAGTTAAGAAAACTTGTGGTTTTCATATCTGCCTTGAGTTTAGCTTTAAGGGCCAGATCACACCATATGCAGTTGTGATGCAGTCCGTTTATTTTGACTGCTGCAGTCAAAATACATCACAATGCTTTCCTGTGGGCTTTCTTGTGCTTAATTCACACCATTGTCCGTTCAGATGCAGTCAGAAAAAATACTGCTTGTCCTATTTTACCTGAATCAAACTGCATCGAAGCGCATGCAAACGCAACGGAACGCATACAAAAAAAAGACTGAGAATTGATTATCACCCAGGGACTTCCTCTTTGTAGTGTGGAAAGAAAGTGAAGAGATGGAATTTGTGGATGCAGATTATTTCATACAATATGTGCGGGACGGTCAGCAGCGGGTGCACCCAATATCGACGTCGCCTGCGAAGGCGTTGTCGGAGAATGGCTATAGTCAACACTAGCACCATGCCAGCCAACAAAGAAAGCATGTCTTATCTCCAAAACAAACGTGGAAATGCTCTGACAGGAAAAGGAAGTGACCTAATTGTCTAATTAAAATTTTCTAGTGCAGAAAAAACCGCATCAAAACTCATTGCAAACGCATCAAAACGGAATGCTGTGCAACTGCACAGACGCACGCAGTTGTGATGCAGTTTCTGGTGTGAACTGACCCTAACTCTTATTTGCCTTCCTTTACCTGTTTGTGTAGGACTTTACAGTACCATTAACAAATGTGCAGTTTTTGCAGGAACACTTCCTCATAGTTTTAGACAGGGCTATTAACTCCCCAGTATCTGTAAATACATTTCGACATTGTGTATTATCGTAGGCTTCCTTACTTATGTTGCTTCTCCAACCAAACCTTTACTACTTATGACTCATCAGGCTTGTTTTTTGATATGTGTCACTACCACAACCTGTTGTTTTTTTGTTCAAACTGATTTTTTTCCCTTTTATTTGTATTCAAATTATTCAATACAAAGTACAAAACAAAATAAAAGGGAAAGGGTATATACAAAACAGTACACAGGGAGTACAACCATAAAATAGGTTTCCATGTATAGGATTAAAGGAGAACTCCCAGGCAGAAATAATAGTAATCCTTGCAATGGGGCTAATCCTGCACTGCAAGGATTAGACGGATTAGATATACTTACCTAAACCTTCAGAGCCTACTGGCTGATAGACTGGTCCCTGCAGCCTCGCTACCCCTTCGCTCCGGCAGTCTAAGGTTCTGTGAGTCATCATGTCCAGTACAGGTATTGGATGTGAGGACACCGAGGGACATTTGATCACTGGAGTGGAGGAGGAGAGAGTCTTCAGGGACCAGTTTAGCCACCGGCTAGCTCCAAGGTTCAGGTAAGTATATTTATTTTTTTCCCTAGACGAAAACAAGCGCAAAAATTATTTCTACCCGGAGTTCTTTTTTTAAGTCTTGTTTACCATTCAAGTGTAGTTTATTCGACGTGGGGCATTGATGTGGAAGTTTGCTCAATGAAAGAGTTAAGAGGCAGAGGTTGATACCATAGAGTCAGCGTTTAAAGCTGGGAGCCCATGCTTTAGGTGGTCATGGTTAACTGTATTCAGTAGTAAGGAGGAGTAGTGACAGATAAAACGAGTGCAAGATGTAAAGGGAAGGAGGGGAGGTAAAAACATAAGGGGGAGAGGAGTGAGGGCAAGAGGGAGATAAGTGCAGGAAGTAGGCGGGGGGTAGAGAGGTAGGGAATGCGGCAAGGAGTATTATGGGTTAGGAAAGGAACATTGGGAAATATCTTCCTGACTATTATCCGACTCAAGACCAGACTAGGAAGATCCATTTTTTTTTCCCAGTAAATTGTGGAATTCTTGGGACCTTCGAAACTGTGCACCAGAAAGACCTCCATGTTCATAATTTGGTCAGTGACCCATTCTAGAAGAGCGGGTGCCTATTCAGAGTGCCAGTGTTATGGGATAATAGTTCCTGCAGCAGTGAGGGTGCCTTAGGGTTTCCTTTTAGGCTTTTTTGAGGGAACCTGGTAACAGAGAGAGCAACACAATTTGAGGGGTGTGAGAGCCCATTCACACCAGGGCGATTGCGGATCAGCACGCTGATCTTGCAAGGGAGGTTTGGGGAATTTCTTATTGCGTTTTAGCGCAATGTATGGGATCGTCGGCGGATCCATGCGGCCGAACCGCCCCGCTGTGAACGAGGCCTTAGGGCTGGTGATTCCAGTAATCTAGGTATAAATTGGAAGGACTTTGTCCCAGAACTTGATAATATAAGTACATGATTCCAGTTCAGTTCATGGCGCCATAGCTCCTAGAAGCTCTGCTATTGGTGGTTAACACCTCTGAGCAGATCTGCACTCTGCACATAAAGTAATTGCTTTGTTGTTTGTTTTGGTATTCCTGTGGTCTGCGGTGATATTTTCTTTCTCTATTTGTTCTGGTGACTTTTGGGGTGTATTTATAAACAATTCGTAGAGCCATTCCCACTGCATTGCATGTGCATTCATTCTGTGTGAATGGAGGCAAAAGCAAATATTAACGTATTTTCTTTCCAGGTCAAATGTAATATCAGGAAAATATCACTTTATGGCCACGGGTTGGCTTCGGGGGCATGAGTGACTCTGACCACAAGGGGAAGGCCAAATAACTTTGGCCGGATTTGTGTGAGGAGTTGCGCTGGCTCTCCTGCCCATAAGAGGGGTGGCGGGGCAGTCTTCTCAGCATAGCCGCAATCTCGAGCTGACCCTCCCGCCCTTCCCCTTTTTTCTCTTTCATTTCACTAGAGTGTGCCCCCTTATTTGGCATACTGGCCTCAAAAATCATGGCACACCCCAGGTTTGTATTAGCAGGTCTCACAAATATCACTTTATGGCCACGAGATAGAGCTGGGTAACACGTATTTCCTATGCTACTCAACTCCATCTAGTGCCTATAATACAACATTTATCTGATATTTAATTTGACCTGGAAAGGAAATTTACAAACATTTGTTTTCACTTCCATTCGCACAGAATGCATGTACATGGAATTTCCATTTACTACAAAGAAGCAAGTCTTTTAATTCTGCTACTAGGCCTACAATGTAAGCAGAACTCTATTTCAAAATCTAAAATCAGAAGTTGGGTATGAGATTACAGCTGCAAGTGTCCTCTACACTTGTGCTCCCTTCCTGCATTCATGGTAATAGTAGTTAACCATCTGATGGCTGTTAAAGTTGTGCTTCCTTCATC